TCTCTTCCTCTCTCTTTCCCTCGCAAATTTCGTGCCCGTTGGAAAAAATCGATGCGTCTGCGATATGAGACGTTAAAAGTTAAAAGAGGTCTATTTATGACCCATGATATTAAACCTGTACAATGCGCGGTTCTGTGTATCGACAGGCGAGGTGTATGCATTTATACAGCGGTGCATCTGAATCATACTGAGAAAAAAATTTTTGGTATTTGAAATTATAATCCTACACTTAAAAGAATTACAATAAAACGAACCATTTTTCTAATAAACGTTATTATAATGTTACGTTGATAATAACACGTTACATACATTATTACTATTTTTGCGGTTAAATAAAAAATATGAAAAGCATATAGCTGAGACTGAAAACAAATATAATTTCTCTCAATGTGCAACCGAGTTTTTATTTTGGTCTACATGCAATGGAAAATTTGGTTACATCAATGGAATCGTTCTTTCGTATAGAATTAAAGGTTCGAGAGAGAAGTTAATAAAATGAAAATCATCAAAGTAAGATTTTGTTAGTCGATAAAAATCACATTTAAATAAGCTATCCTTGAACTTCCTACGAACGTCAAAGCAGCAGTTAAAATTTGACTGAGATATGCTGCGACCGATAATAATGTGTCCATAGCATGTTGATCATTGAATCTTCGATGAACTCGATCGGCACGCGATTACGCGTTAATAAACGTCCGGATTATGACAGCGGGATAAGTTATTTTCGGCGACGTCACGTGCATCACGGTATCGTGTATTATGACGATAAATTTACGGGCCAGTCCTCCTCTTCCTTCTTACGGGTATGAGAAGTTACGAGACAAAGAGCTGCCGCTACAACTATCACGACGAACGGAGAGAGAGATGCGCAAAGGAATGCCTCGATAATACGGCGCGACGTCAGAAATGATGGACGATATCTCGCAAATTAAATATTCTTCGGCGATATCGAAAATTCCGCGAATAGCTGAATGCAAGCCGGGGAGAGAGATGAATTTCACGCCTCGAAAGTGATTAACCAGCGGTCGCCAATGGCACTCGACCGATATACTCGCCGCTTGTACGAACAACCCCCTTTTATTGTTAATTTCGAGAGCGACCGACCGAGGAGAGCGGAAGGCGAGGGAGGAGACTGAAAAAACTAACTGAAAAAAAAATGAGAACGTGCGCAGCCACAGTGCAGAGCATAACAATTTGATCTTTAATAAGGAACGAAATATCGTACGCGCGCGCGCGTGTGTATGTGTGTGTATGTGTGTCCCGTATTAATTCCGTGCACGGTTGATATCTCGATAGGCACAAAAATTATGAAGGCCGAAATTCCCTGTGTAGTGACACAAAACGATTCGAAATAACCATTCGGCGGTAATACAGCCACGCAGTCGCGTGACGTCCACGCATTCTCTGCATGCATCGCACCGACCTACGGGAGTAACAACGAATCGCAGCCAATTATCGCAAACTGCGTAACACGTCAACGTCACGAGACGTGTATACATTGCTCGCTGGCCCGGAAGTACTGAGTGCTTTTTAAAAATTCCATTTCACGTTGAAGCAAATTGCAAAACTCGCGCGACGACTGATAGAAACATTTCCTCGGTGGAACGCCGACTCGAACAACAAACCCGCATCGCTATCGCCGCGACCACCGTCGAGGAAAAAATTCTCGGCAGAATGCGGAAGAATAATATCATGCCGACCAAATGGAACTTCGCGATGGGCGGGTGCGCGCCATATCTCATCCGAGCGGAGCGCAATATTGCGACGCATTATTAACTTTTCGGATAAACGGCCAATAACCAACATAATTAACATTTATGATGACCGGCGTCGCAGCATCAATCCAACGCTTAATTATACAAGATGACATCTCCTCTTTTGTTTACCTTGTAAAGAAAATGTCTTGAGATCCAATTAGAATCTAGTCCGATTTCCCAAGATTAAAAATAATTTTGTATTCTGGTTGAAAAATTTATGCAAGCTCTAATTAGAAGTCTAGAAGAAAAGCACGAAAACCGACGTACCATTTTATTTTTAAATTCTAAAGTTGTGTTGATTGGTGTAAAATTAAAACTCGTGTGCACGGATGCAAACCAGCAACACTTTTTTACCAAAATATATAATAGTTTTATGAAAATTATTACATATTTTGTTAAAAACAACTACTTTTAAGATGTTTGAGATTTATGATGTTGAGGATTGACACTTTCAGAAACTAGACTCCAAAATTAATATACCTACTACACTTGTAGGAAATTATCAAAAAATAAAATAAAAGCTCAAAAATTAGCTCAAAAATTATATCGAATAACTTACTGCTGATTTGTTATTTTAATTTTCACAAATAGGAAGCTCAATACAATTTGAACGCAACGAAAAGTTAAACGATACTAATAATACAATTGAATGTGTTTGCAAGCAGAAACTGTCATCTCAGTTCCAACTACTACAATGGATAAAGTTCATGTACTATCCAACAAGATTTAATACTTCACAGCTGAGAAATATAGGTTTGCCAGTCTATTATACCTAGTTTTGGTATTTTTCCTCTCCTTGAGAAACACCCTGTATATTCATTTACTACGGTAACATTGAATTTGCTGCCTCTCCAAAATTATTTCTCTCCATGTGTACGTACGTGTATACGTTCGTCCGCCCGTCCGTCTGTCTATCTGTTCATTCGTACGTACGTATACATGTACACGCGTGCACACTCGCGCGCGCATTCATCTCCTGAGACAATAGTCCCGAGTCTGCCCCTTTGCCTCCGCATCAGTAGTCCACATTCCTCTTCCTACCTCTGAGCGAGAGCCGAGTTTCCAGCCGTGGGACGGAGACCACGGTCCTGGAATAGACAACAAGAGACGATGCGCGCGGCCGCGAATGCATTGTCTAATTGTGTGGAAAATGTAGTGTAGCTTCTAGTTCGCGGACGCTCTCAGGGGCGCGTCAGGTAAAATGCGATAGGACGAGACCGGAGCAACCCCGATGTAATTCCACGCGTAATAAGGCGAGTCGCTGCGTTAGCGCAGCGCAGTCGTTAGCCGTATCCGACGACTGTTGAAGTAGGTGCGGAGTTGCACGTTACACGTGCGGTTTTGTACAGAGCGGCCCGTGGTTATTTTGAAATTGGACCGTCCAAGAGAGAGAGAGAGAGAGAGGATTAATTAAAACGCAATACCTATGGGCCCAAAAGAGACGAAAGGTCTCTTTACAACGTTCCTTTACAACAAACACTTCAAGCTCTACTGTATCATTCCGCGTTGACGTGCTCTCAGGTTTTCTTCTCGAGATAAAATTTTCGCTGACAGACACGAGAAAGATGAATCTCGAGCGCACGCGTTAGGAACTTTAATTCGACACCTGAATTATCGCTGTAATTTAACACTTTGCGGGCCGCTGTCACGCTGGCGTGACTTTTGCTCGCCAACGGTTATCGGCCGCTGTCACGCTGGCGTGACTTTTGCTCGCCAACGACTTTCGGCCGCTATCACGCTGGCGTGATGGTTTGACGATCAGGAAACATTGTTTTCAACTGTTTTCCTCTCCCAATTCAACAGACTGTCTATTATTAAAATCTTTTTTCGCGGACGCTTGTTTTGTCAGTTTGAGATTGTCTTTCGCTACCTTCAGATATAGGAAACTTACGTTAGATATCCCTCAAAATGCCAATACCAATATAATTGGAATAAAAATAGTGTAACAGTTATTTTAGTGCCTTCTTTAATAATAATTATATACCAACTACTTATGTATCGAAAAATTGCGTAAATATCACCGTTGGCGAGCAGTAGAACCTGCGTGAATCTCGCCGGCGGCAGCGTAACGGCGCTTCGATAAATGCGCGGCCCGCAAAGTGTTAATCACGAGAGAAAGTACACAGATAGCAAATTTTGAACAGTTTTCTTATTGTAAATTTTTTTCAATTTTACTATGTTCTCTGCACGGATAGAAACAGTCTATGAAAAAAAAAAATATTTATTCGGTGGGTACTGATAATAGTTTACTTCGATCTAAATTCTTTTATTTCAATATAGGATAAATAATTATTTTCTTGAAAAAATTATAGATTTTTAAGAAAGCGCATGTTTTATCATACGAAAAAACTGGTTTAATATAAAAATATCTGCATTAATAAGTAAGTTATTAGCATTTATCGAATAAAGATTTTGTAGCAATCAGATATTTATTCTTTCTCGATGTAGTAGTGCAGAAATAGATCGGTAGCAAGGTTTATTTCGCTAAGGAATATAATAAACTTGAAAAGATATTTAAAAGTTCTGATGCGGCTAACAAATAATAAGAGTGATAGGCTAATGAGAACCGTCGTTGGATGTTGGGCGTGATCATTTAAAACTTACTGGCTAATGGTATCTTTTGAAACCTTCTTCTGTAATTACTAATAATAAACTTGTTAACCTTCTGAGTGCTATAGATGCATATATGCATCCAGCAACTGTCATTGGTGTGAACTGATGCATAAATATGTCCGATGCACTTCGGCTTATATTCTTAACGCAGATTCGGCAGGTGTTTTCGATTTTTTCAACTTTTTTATCGATTAACTTACGACAGTCTAAAGTACTTCGTTCTCAATGATCGTTTAGTTTTGAGTGTTTCTGCATTCGAAGAGTTAATAGTGAACTTCACTTCCTAAAACATAAATAGTATACATGAAATAGAATTTTATCCGTGTATATTTTATAATTGGCCACGATGCACCGTCCGTTCCGTAAAAATTCAATAAGACTACCGTCGAAGATCCATCTCTTTATCGTTAGGAGAATTGTATTCGAATATGACTGTAAGCGTGTAATATACGATTCATCTACTCACTACTCTTCTCATTTCATCATCTTACTGTCTCAACGTTTCTCTTTAATTACCCAATGTGTGATTTATATTTAGAAATTTAAATATGTGTGAATTATTCTTAGGGTATTTCTCCTTTCTTCATTTCGATCAATCTTTGCGCTTACCAAGATGCAATGTCTTTGCAGATTTCCACGTTAGTCTCGCACAGAGAACGGCCGCTATGTTCGGACCGGAGTCTGCGAGCAGTCGCCAGGGTCGGCCAGGCGGTAAATTTGGCGGTCGAGAGATTCGTGACCGTCGGCGAAACTATCGCGGACGACAACCCGGAGATCAAACAGGAAATGTACGAGGCGTGCAAAGAGGCGAGAGTCGCTGGTAAGAAATATATAAACACAATATGGCATAATAATTAGAATGTAGCGAAATAATTCGAACATCAATTTCTTTTGCTGCATAAAAAGGAAACAGTTTGTCCGAAACGGACAAACCAAACGTGTTTCTGTTAAGGGAAATAGAATTTGTAACTATAAGAGCCAAATTTTACTTATAAAGACCAAAAATTCAGTTTTCTTCAATCAAAACGCGTTTGGCTTATCAACTTCAAATAAATTCAATCAACCAATTAAATAAAATCAAACTATTTTTTCCGTATATATCATTGTTGTTCGCATCATTTTCATATTCGTTACAAAATTTCGTCGCATTCATATAATGCATTTTCGCACTTGTAGAGCAATATATTGTAAAAATGTCAATAATATATTCTCGCAATTTGCACTGACCGAGGAAAAGTGATATCACCGCGATTCTCGTGAAACAGTTAGAATTATCGTTGATAATATTATTACATCGAAACTTGTCTTTTTTACGACACGTTATTATCTAGCGAGCGACATGGAGATTCGATACGGATATTCGATGCGCGAATTAAGGCGATGCATTAATTAAAAGTTAGAACAATGCAAGCGTATCGAGTTTTACGTTACGAGGCAAACTCGCGTTAAAACTTGAGGCATTTCACGCAACAATATCTTGCACCAGGCATCGCACGACCGTCGTATGTTGTGAGATTATTAAAAACTGTATATTATTAGAAACTGCTGTATTGTTTAGTGTAGAGGGAGATAGCTCCAGCGAATCAATGCGAAATTCGATATGAACCGAGATTATTAAAAGAAGAAGAAAAAGAAGAAGAAGAAGACAGAGATATGCACGAAGCAGCAGGAGAAAAAATTCGTACGACGTAGTTTGCAATAATAATGGCGCCGTTCACGTAGATACACGGGAGACGAGTAACTGAATTTCAAATGCAAATCTCTTAACCCCGTTTCTCTCATCCATGGAGATGCGTAATAATGATAATAGGAAGAAACGAGCGGGATATCGCAATACAATTTCTATCTTGGCTGCAAACTTTATTGCGACGTTGTATCGCCTGGCATTTTAATTCTTTAATCTATATTACATTTCATCTATTGAAAGCCGTATTTTCTCCCTTCCGGAGGATTATGCCGTTGTCGAGAAGAACAAATTGCATTATGCTCACACCGAACACAAACGATTCTCCTTTCCGCGAACGATATTACCTTCCTTGGCAGATAGATATTCTTCATCAGCGTTTTAAATAATCGCATTACCGCGGATAAACTCGTAATCGCGCGACGAGGCCATTCGCAAGCACGATACTTTAGAATGCATTTACGAGATTCCATTTGCGAGAGTGTATTCTAGTGCGATTAGAAAAATTCAAAGATAAAAATAAAAGATTTTGGTCGACTGTCAACAATTGCGGCACCGCGCAGACAGCTTTTTCGTATTCAATTTTTCGTGTAGGATATTGTGCGTCCGTTCAATTGAGATGCCTACAGTAATCTCGCGCACATGCATTCGGCGGTCTTCCACTACGTTACTGTTTGTGAGCGAATGCACTCAATTGCTCGCGTGCAACGCTCCCGCTGGATCTGCCCAGCGCAGGGCACGGAATGCAATGAAGGATCGGTGGCAAGGGAAATTCTTTCAACTCGAGTTTCGGTTGTGCAATTGTTTATTCGGCTGTTGAGACAGAATGGCGATCTGCTCCTTACAGTGCGGGGCGTCATGGTGTTCTTCTTCTTCTTGTTCGCCACGCGCAACCACCGTTACCGGACGCAACACGATTCGACGATCACGACGTTAAATGACAAATTAAATGAAAAATATGATTAAAATGGATAACCGGCAATCGTTCGCGAAGCAGTCGCGAGGACGCTATTGATATCTCGCAACGAGATGACTCGAGAAAGTTAACTTGATTTCTCGCACGGACGGCCAAACCCGCAGCAAACCGATATTCGCGAATTATTCGAATCGCACGAGTTGTTCTAATTTCGATTTGAAAGGTCTCTCTCTCTCTCTCTCTCTCTGAGTGTTCGCTCAACGTTTCTTCTTTCGTGCTCTCAAGGCACTCAGTTTTATACCAATATACTTTTTTTCCAAGCGGGACGAATAGATTGGTTGTCCTTCGATCGAACGAAGCTTTTCGATTATGTTCAAATATGGCAATGTTTTTTGCTACTGACAATTATGTTCTTATAACCGAAGACGTGATTAGACACGCGTGTTTCATATTTATTTGTTTTGTTGTCAATTCGCAATCCGCGTGTTATTGTTTCGAAATCGCGGCTCGTTCCCCGCATCATGCTCGGCTCACGTGTGATGAGCATGATAACATTAACTTTTTCCGTTGAGATTCAACTGGAATTTTGAACAGACACTATGGATTTTTTCAATTAATTCTTTCGTGACGAACTCAATTGGGCGTCCAGAGAGCTATTCATCTTCAGTGCATGTACGGCCACTCATTATTCAAACTTTAAACTCCAAACTCACCACAGTTTAAACTCATTTATCCGGAAATATACAGTCTTCAACGCTGATGCAGAATTCCCATGAATTTCATTTAATTTGGCTTTGATTTGCGTGGCCGTTAATTGAAATTCGTTTGAAGGATCAAATAAAAATATTTTATGACGGCACGAAATTCATTTTTTCCATTTTTGCGGCAAATGCGAAAACGCTCGATTTAAATGGCTAGCAAACATTAACTACGCGCTGCATTTGGCTGAAATTTTGACAGAGGGTGCTTGAAGAATAACACTTGCCAGCAGTGATGTCGTTTAATGAATTGGCGTTATCTCATGGAAATTAATCAAACTTTTCAAATTACCTACGTAAATATAAATATTGAAGCGCAACGGAAAAAGTCAGTTTTGATCAGCTATCTGAGTCACATGACCTAGGCGCTATATTCTTCGCCTATCACAACAAAAATATATACGATATACCGGTAAGTTAAAATATTTTATATATTTTTAGTATAATAATAATATATCATTTATATACTACTTAATAAAATCGTCCTTTAATGTACCGAATTATAACAAGTAGCTGCAAATTATGGAAGAAGTATTCCTACTTAGATTAATTATTGAAATTAATTTCTCGCAACCTTACCTTTCCTTTTTACTAATCTTCCTTCTCTCACTTTCTTACTTGCTTGCTCCAAGTATTATCATGCAAAAAATATAACGGACTTTCGATATATTGAATTCAGTTGTGCTTTTCTACTTATATCTAGGACTCTAATTGCTACTACTATCTTTGTGGTTAGAACCATAAAAAAGATATAAGGATGAGACCAAAATAACTCTAATTTCTTTCCGCGTACACATGCGATTATTTATATATGTAAACGAAATCGCGATGTCTATAATAAGCACTGAAAGGATACAAATAGCGATTCCCATACGCAACCTTGCGCGGAAAGGTGATCACGCGAGGCGGAAAATACATGCTCTGTATATCAGTTCGTCTGTGTACTTGCGGGGATAAAGTTCGTAACCTTTAAACGTTACTTTCCGAAGTCTTATCGCCAGTTGGCAGATTATATCTCCGTGCCTTCACGCTACGGTGCACATTGCAGAACGACGAATCTCACTGTGTTGCTGGTGGTAACGCGCGATGACCCAATTTCACTGGTCGAACCTTGAAAGGTTTTTTGCCGCCTACAAGAAGTAGAAGAAGACCCACCGGCCGTATCTTTGTCAAACAGCTGGGAAGTAATGGCCATATAGGGTCACGAATATTTCTTGTCCGGCACACCTGTTCGCACTCGCACTTCAGTTAAGAATTGCGCGCACGGAAAGAGGAAACGGCCCCGAGACGACGCGGTCTTCAGTGGGAAAAATATCTCCCGCCGCGGAATGGGAGAGAAATCTTGAATAAAGATCTCGCACCAAGGCGAGCTCGACATAGCTTGACGCTGACGTTAAACTAAAAGGACGAGACTCTAATTTGAAAGTAAGACGGCGACGTGTGCGAGACCGGCGGAAGAGGCGACGATTCGTTTACAGCCGTGTCTCAAGTAGAAGAGAGAAAGAAGGCGAACAAATCATATCGCCCGCCGCCGGCTCTCTTAATACAGAAACGCTATTATTACGCCCGGCGTGATCGATTTTACTCTTTAAGGAAAAGCGATGTAAATAATAAATTGAGTTTTCGTCACAATAACCGAGGTCAAGCATTTCTATACAACCACACGCGACATGATCTACGAGTTTGGAGAATTGATGAAAAATTCCTTATCTAATGGAAATTCGATTATCCCGCGGCGAGTGGCGCTTGTCGAGACGTGGAAAGTATCGACGTTAAGTACTAATTCTTTAAAACCTAACCATCACAATTGTTACAATTGTATTCACACTGAGAAAAAAAATAAAACATATTTGGAACAATAATGACATAGTAAAAAAATTATAGTTAGAAAATATTAAATATAGTAAATATTACTATAATACGGGTTACAATTATGATATAATGTAACGAATCCATGTGAATATTTTATTATGAATTATAATTATTTTATGTATTATTATTATAAAGTGGCAAATATAGATTGATAACAGAAATTGGCTACTTTTAATCGACACAATAATAATAAATAACCAATAATACTATATGTAACAATATTCTTAACACATAGGATGTCTTACTATAGGATGTCTGTCGCTAAGTGTCACATGCATCTTATACGAGAGGCCGAAACTAGTTGAGAGAGAAAGAGGTAAGTTGGCTAATTGATTATTTCTATTGTTTTCTAATAGGTTACAGAATCGAGCGAGTAGAGATTTTAAACGTGTTAATAATAGTTATGAAATTTCTACTTGCTCGATTCTGTAACCTGTTAGAAAACAGCATAAATATTCTTAATTAGCCAACTGACTTTAACCTTTAGCTAATTAGCCCTGGTTTCCTCTACTTGCAGTTTAGGTCAGTGTGAAGAAAAAAGTCCCCTACCATTTTGCAAACAACCACGCAAAATTTTGAGTTATTAATTA